CGCATCAAAACAGCGCTCTGGCGCTGACCATAACGCACCGGTAGAGTGCCGGTGGTTCGATGCCTCCAAGTGAGGCTGTACCGGTACTTATACCGGTGGGGCAGAGGCCGACCTCAATGCTGCGAGGCCTGGCCATGCCCTGAACCGTCCAGATGGACGGTTCAGCCCCAAYCGGCGGGCRGCAGCTTCAAGAGCGCCGCCAGGCCCAAACGATAATGCCGTTTGGGCCTGCCCGTCGGGTACTGGTCCAAGATCAGACCTTTAGGGCCTGTAATACCCCAAGGTCGGGCCTTTAGGCCCTGATGTTTCCTTCCGGCCCTAAGTCGGGTCCGGTAGGACCCGTGTGCGTCGAAGATGTAACACACTCCCCCTCTTAAAAGACCGAGCTACCTGCGAGGGCGAAGTTGTCTGTCCGATACCGGAGTGGGTCGGGCGGGACGAGCTGCGTCCTTAGCAAGGCGTCGCTTCTCATAGTCGGCGAAGATGAGGGGTGCAGAAGTCTGCAAATCTGTACTGGAGATCCATCGAGTGTCATCAGGCGCACATTGCTTGAATGTGACTTTGTACTGCCTTGGCTTGTTGCCATACTTGCGGTGCGTGATGACTCGGTCAACTTCCTGATGTTCGTCCATAGAAGGCAGATCCTATGATCGACGTCCGGGGAACTCGTCAGCTGAAGGTGGCGTGTAGATGGCTAGCTTCGATGCGTGGAAGACCCGATGCACTGTTAGGTGCGGTGGAATRTTGATCACGAAGRAAGGACCTGCGGGGTCGTCTCCAACGGCAGAAGTGACTTCCCATGGTCCGAACCATTTCGGAAGGAGTTTGCGCGAAACATCCTGYTCGAGCGCAAATTCCTCGGAGAGGACCCAAACACGGTCTCCCTCGCGGAAAGGACATGGAAGTCGACGTCGGTTAGCTTGCTGCTGCATGCGGATCTGAGCCTTTTGCATATTTGCGCGGGCTTTGATCAACAAGTCCCGGTACTTCCGGATGGAAGCGGGAGAGCAAGGGACGTCTATGTCGGCAGCCTGTGGCAAAAGGAGATCAGCGAAGATCCGTGCTTTCTCTCCACCATGATGTTACTCGAATGGTGTGACGCAGATCACCGGGTGCACCGAAGTGTTATAGGCGAACTCGATGTCGGGAAGCCGGTCAACCCTATCTTTCTGGTCGGGGCGGATGAGCGTACGCAACATCATCTGAGCGGTCTGGTGCGCTCGTTCCGTCTGACCATCCGTCTGCGGGTGCCGAGCCGAGCTCGGTTTCATTGTCGTACCGGACTCAGTCATGAGGGAAGTCCAAAAGGCTGACATGAAACGAGTATCTCGGTCGCTCACTTGGTCTTCCGGAACACCTTGGTTGGTAATCCAACCGGTGTGCAAGAGTCGTGCGAGCTCAGGCGTTGCAGCATGATACTTGCAAGGAAGGTAGCGAGCATACTTGCTCAAACGGTCAACGACCGTGAGAATACCGTCATGGCCGTGGCGATCACGGGGAAACGGGCCTGTCACGTCCATAGCAATGGAGAGGTGTGGTGCCCGGGGAATCGGCAACGGTTTCAGTTCGCCGAAGGGGACTCGAGATCGACCCTTGTTTCGGTGGCAAACTGCACATGACTCAATGTACCTCGTGACGTCATGAAGGACGTCGGGCCAGTGAAAACGTTGGCGGAGGCGTGCTAGTGTGCGGTTCAAGCCAAGGTATGCCGAAAGTCGTGCGTCGTGGAATTCGCCGAGAAGACGAGTCCGTAAGATGCGATCTTGGGGCACAACTAACAAGTCCTTTCCTCTCGTGTGAAGGAGAAGGAATCCGTCGGAAATCCGATAGTGGCTGGCCGGCGGGTGATCCGATGAAAGCTCCGCGTAAAGCGTAGAGTAAGTCGGATCGGACTTGTAGCCTTTGAGGAAATGCTGCTGCAGATCGTCATCGAGGTCGAATGTCGTGGTCACAATGGCACAAAAGTCGGGCCGTCATGAGAGGGCGTCCGCAGCTCGATTGGCAGGACCGGGAATGTGGCATGGGTCAAAATCGAACTGGTCGATGTAATACATCCATCGACCGATCGTGCTAGTGACCGTGTCTTGCGTTTTATAAAAGGTCAACGGATTGTTGTCCGTATTCCATTTGAAACGCCGCCGGCCAAGAAGAAAGTGGCGCCACCGTTTGAGAACGGTGACGAACGCAAGTAGCTCTTTCTTACTAGCGTCGTCGAGAGTGTTGACGAGAGACACCTTTTGGGAGAAATACTCAACCGGATGCCAACCGTCCTCGTGACACTGTTCCAACACCGCACCAATACCGTATCCCGAAGCGTCCGTAGTCACTTGGGTGGGTGGGGTCGTATATACGGAGGGCAGGTGCGGCTTGCATTGCTGCCTTCAACGTACTGAACGCGCCACGGGCTGCGTCGTCGAACTCGAAGGGCACCTTCGGGGACTGAAGTCTCGACAAAGGAGCGGCGACTTTCGAGTATGACTCGACGAATCGCTGATAATATCCAGCCAAACCCATGAAAGAGCGTACATCCGTCGTGCAACGGGGTTCCGGCCAATCCACGATGGCTTGGATCTTGTCCGCTAAGGGACGAATGCCTTTCGGCGTGACAAAATGGCCCAAGTACTCAAGCTCTTGCCTGACAAATTCGCACTTGTCGAGATTCGCTTTGTACTTGGCTAGTCGCAAACGATTCAAAACAACGCGAAGGTGTACGATGTGCTCGTCCAACGTCCTACTATAAACCAAGATATCATCAAGGTAGATGAGGACGCTGCGATCGAGCAAGTCGCGAAACTCAGTTGTCATCGCTGCTTGAAACGTTGCGGGGGCATTGGTGAGTCCAAATGGCATGAC